TTACTTGTAATACACCTCCTCTTGATCCAGTACGACCAAGAATTTCAGTAACTTGAGCATAGATAACTGGAGTTTCAGTAACTTGTGTGGACATTCTCCTTTAGAACTAGGTTTAGTTCAATAGTTACTAGATCTTTCTTTAGGTTTCTAATTTAGTATTTTATTATATTATTAACTATTTTTATATTAATTTTTTGGATTTTTTAAATAACACAAAATGTTTATCAAAACCAAAATAAAAAAAACAAAAATAAAAGAATGGAAGAAGCTAACACAAAACGAAATATAAATAATGATATTTTACAATATGGTGATATGTTTAAAGATGCCATACCATTAACTACATCAGAAGTATTAGAAGAAGTATCTACAAAAGGAACAGGAAAATAGTTCGTTTCTTTTTATTTCATCCTTAAAAATATATTTAATTCTTAATACTTTAGTGCACGTGAAACAGAAGAATATTGTAAACAATTTAAAGATAATGGAAACCCAAAAGAACTTATTGAAAAATTAAAAAGTATGTCTCATTTATCATTACTTGAAATAGTTTCTTTATGTAATTTTAAACCAACATCTATTGATCAAGCAAAAATGTTGATAAAGTCATTAGACAATTATCCTGACTCAGATTTAAAAAATGTTATTGATATATTAGATAATGATAGTAAAGGAATAGATGAAGATGATTTAGACTAACTCTTTTTTTTCTTATATAAATTTAACAATTTTTTATTTATTTTTGTGTTATTCTAAGACATTTTTTTTAAGAAATTTATTTTCCAAAATAATGAACTCAATTATTGTAAAAATGGTTGAACATTTAGAACAAGAACAAAACAATAAATATAGCGAAATGATTGCTAAATTTGATAAAGAGACCATTGAAGCAATCTCTGAATTAGAACAACAACAAATAGAACTTAATAATTTAACAATACAAAATGAAATAGTAATGATAAATGAATTTCGAGAATCTCATCAACGATTTCAAGCGTTTAAATCTTCACGTGAAAAAATTCCCCATTATTGGAGTTATGTTCTTCAAAATTCTGGAGTATTAAAGAAAATACAATCAACAAATACAGATATTGAAATATTAGAACATTTAAAAGATATTTATCTTACATCATTTACAGTCGTTAGTACAGTTGGACCAGTAATAGCTGATAGAAAAAGGTTAAGGGTTGGATTTAAACTTGTATTTGAATTTGAAAAAAATGAATGGTTTGAAGAAACAGAATTAAGTAAAACAGTATCATATATATTTAATGAACCAATTTATTATCCTAAAATTTATAATTCAGGTGTTACTTTTTATGATGGAAAAAACCCTAAAATGATTGATTCAAGTCAGCATTCATTCTTTGATTTCTTTGAACCAATAAACCAAAAAGAAGAATATAGTAACGAAGAAGAGGAAGAAGAAATTGAAGATAAATTAGATGAACAACTAGATGATACAATATGTTTTTCTAATGATATTATTCTTAATAGTTTATATTATTTTAAAAATCAAATGGAACCTTATTCTGATGATGATGATGAATTTTCATCATTATTAAATGAAGATAGTGAAAGTTCAAGTGACGATAGTTATGAGAGTGAATAATTGAGTCATTTTTCTCAAATAAACATTAAGTTGTATTTAAAGATAATAATTGAATTATTTGATGGCATTATATATTTTTAATAAAGCAGAACTTAAATGTTGTCTTATTTCAATATTTTCATGAGGAATTAATGAAAGAAGGTTGGAGAATGATTGTTGATGAACAATTTTAAGTAATTCATTATCACATTTTTCAATTAATTCAAATGCAAGAAGAAGAATAGTGTCTGAACTAATACTTAAAAATTCATTCATCAAATTAACAATAACAATTGGATATATTTTACATACTTCATGTGCAAATAAAGTAAGATGATATTCTATTGCATTCTTAATTGATAAAACATTTTGATAATTTGGATTTGGTTGTTTAATTTCTTTAAGTACATCAATAAATCGTTTTATATTATTTAATAAACATATTAAAATATCTTGATCTTCTTCTTTAGATATTAATGTAATTTGTTGAGAAAATGGAGATACTGCATTTAAAAATGTATCAAAGGCAGATGTAGTTGATGGGAAATCAAGTGATGATGGTTTAAATAAATGAGGAATAAATTGGTCTTTAAGTGTTGGTTTTAATTTAGATGAATGGTGATGTTTTTGTTTATCTTTTTCTTTACATTCAATAGAACAATAAACTGTATCACATAAAGGACATCTTAGTTTATCAAATTTATATAATTCTTTATTACAAAAACTACATTTGAGTTGTTCTTCTTCATTAGAGATCATTTCTTGTTGATCTGTTTTACTTTCATTCGTTAAAGGTATTGAAGATAATTCAACAAAATATTTCATTGAGTCATACATATAATTAATAGTATCTTCTATCATAAACCTATACATTGGAATATAACTTGGATTATCTATAAAATAAGAAAATATTAGTTTAATTGTTAGTACAGCTACTGATGAAGACTGAGAAATACCTCGAATAATAAAAGTAATTACAATATGAATAATGTCAGCCATAAATGGTTGTAATAATCCTGGATTCTTAGAAATAAAATCACAAGCTCTAGTTAACATACTTAAACATACAGATGACCACCATTCATCCCCACGAGAATTAAATACATTTTCAGATTTTAAATGATAATATCCAATTGGTTCTAAAATTCTAAAGAATATTTTATAAAACACAAAATACCATTCATTATATGAAAGTTTTGGAGAATAAAATTCAATGTAATGAGTTAAAGATTGTAGTGCCAATGATGAAATAATAATATGTTGACTTTTTGTAATACTCATATGAGTAAATAAGAAGTCAAAGAAAATATCAAAGAAATGAGAGTCTAAACTTAAATCAATAGTATCAATTGGATATTTATCAATAATTCTATTTAACCCAACAATAATAATCGGATCACTTTGTTTATCTTGAATAACTGCTTTTTCATTAGTAAGAGAAAATTTTATAAGTGTTTTAAAGAAATAAGAATAATATTTTTCATCAAATTCATATTTTAATTTGATTATTTTGGTTAATGTTTCATATCCTTCTTTCATGATAGTTAAAGGCTCATCCATAGTAGAAATAAATAATATTTCAAATACTTCTTTCCAAGATTGTGTTATATAATTATCTTTCTTTTCAAATTCTTTCTTTAATACTTCAAGAATATTAGAACGACATTTCTCTAATGGAGAATCTCCCATTGCAATAACAACTGGTTTTAATATTTCTTTTGACTCTTTGAATAAATCTAATTCACAAAATCTAAAAAATATTTCTATAGCTTTCATTGAAACAATTTCATGTGGATGAAGCATACACTGTAATAAGAAATTTCTTATAATTTCAATTGTTTCTTTATTATTTATTTTTTTATTCTTTTCAATAAATCCTTCAATAATTAATTTAAATTGATTTAATAATAACATTGGTGGTGTGACACAATTTAATTCATTTAATGCACTGTTACTTAGACATTTGATAATTTCACAGAACCCTTCTTCATTTAATGATTTTAATGAATCAAATATTAATGGTATTGTTTCAATTTCAATTTTTAATTCTTTCTTTAAATTAATTATATCGTTTGAAAGGTTTGTTGGAAGTTTAATATCTTTTGGTTGATATAACTGATGTTGGACTTCCATAAAGAATAATTTTCTAGTATTTTTTGGAATACTTTTTAGTGTTGAAATAGTTTGGTGTTCAATTAAATTCATTTGTTCAAACCTTGAAAGAACAATAAATAAATACTTCCATCCTCCATGTAATTTATTTTGTAATGAATTACTAATGTCTATTACCATTTTGGTAACTTGAATATTACATGATTTACAACTATTAAAATCATAATAAACACACCACTCACACATAGTTTTAATAATAAGTTCAATCATTTCTCTACAATCCATTACAATACATATATCAAGCATTTCTTTTAAATAAGTTAAAGTATTTGTAATATCATTATATATATCAAATGCAATTTTTAAACTTTTTAATTCTATTGGAACCATAGTTTCTATAAGTGCGTGGAGAATATCTTTATTAGAAATGGATAATGACTCAACAGTATCTTCATCAATTTTAGCTTCAGTAATTTGACTTTTTAATAATAAAATTTGAGGTCTTTGATGAGGACTATTCTTAATAGTAATTATATATTTATTATCATCTTCAACTTTTTCTTTTTGTTCTGGAATCAAAAATGCATTTTGTATAACGCTTTGATATAAAGGTTGAAGATAACTATCAGGTAATGTAAAATCAAATTGTTCAACCATTTGTTTAAATTTCTCATAACTGTCCATTGTTTTTGTTTTAACATTTGAGTTGTGTGTTTCTGTTGATAAGAAAATAATAGTTGTAGCTAAGAAATATATTTGGTTTGATGTGATATTCATTTCTTTCATTTTATCACTCCAACATTCAGCATAACGATGAGCAAACATTTCCATTACACGATCAACTACTTGACCTTCTCCAGGCATGACAAATAAATTAAACATTGACCTTAATGCTTCATCAACACTTAGTCCATTAAAATCAATTAATTTCATATATTCTTTAAAGACTTCTTTATTAAATTCTTTATTAGAAGTAAGATATTTACCTAATGCAATTTTATCAACTCCTTCTAATTTTTTAAGAAATTGAGCAATAGATGTTGGATCATTAAAACATAAATTTGATTTAATCATATATGAAACTCCATCATTTGGTTTTTCTTTAAATAATTGTTTAGCTTTTACAATATCAACTTTAATTTTTCTATCAATTAAACATTTTAAAACTGATGTTGAATTTGTTTTAGTAGGAATTCCATTATCTAATTCAACCATTCCAATACTTTCTAATCCATTTACCTGAATCATTAATTTTTTAATTGAATCTATTATAATATGAACTAATGATAAACATTCTTTTCTCATATCAGCAAGAATTTTAATAGGAATTTCTTCAATAGAAGCATTTTTAAATTCAGGAGTAAGAATAAAACAAATGGTATTTAATAAGTCTTCAAAGATATTTTGCCCAAATTTATCACAGTCATAATTTAGGAATATATCATTTAAAAATTGGGAATCTTGGCATAACTTTACTAATTCTGATATAACCACTTGTTTATATGAATATAATGGTAATGGTGATAAAATATAAAAGAATATTACTGAATTTAATAATAATGCAATTTCTGTTTTTAAATTTACTCTAAATTTGAGTATACAAATAATGAGTATTTGTAATGATGTAATAAATAATGTTTTATCATCAGAAAATACATTGTAACTTAAACATCCAACAAAATCAATATTCCATTTATTGATTACTGTAGGATTGCATGTTTCAGGACATTTGTCTAACCAATAATATGTTAGTTCAAGAATATGTTTTTCCATTCTAAGAACCATTGGTCTTTTCCCTCTTAATTCTTTCCATGGAGATTTCTTAATTTGTTCTGATAAAAATGGAGATTTTATATGATCAAATGAACTGTTTTTTATTAATAAACTTAGTATTGCCAAATGAATTGGTAAATCTTTTTCAAGTAATTTTTCTTTTTCAAGTACACTATTTTGTCTTACTGTTCTTCTTTTCATTTGAGCTAATTCTTTTTGGACCTGAAGTTCTTGTGTGCTTCCACCTTTAGTTAATGTAAATTTTTCTTCACTTACTTGTCCAATATACTCTTCTGTACTTTCTCCTTCTTTTGGTGTTCTTGGTGATTTAATTTCTTTATCATCAGAACTGTCTTCTGATGAAGAAGAAGCATCTTCATCAGAAACAAATTCTCCAAGAAATGTTTCGTGTGGTTCATTTGAGTGATAACTTTTATTTTCGTGAGAATTAGTAGTATCATTTGAATTATTTTTTATTTCGCTGATTTCTTTATCTTCTTTCTTTGTTGGTCGACTAAGAACTGATATTGGAGTATTTCCATGGAAATTATTTTGAGGGTTAACAAAAATATCATCGTTACAAGGTGCAAATTTTAGTTTATCTGATGAACTCAATTTGGTTCCTCTAGTTACTGAAAGTGACATTGCTCTATCACGCTCTCTTCTTAAGCCCCCTGAACTAAAAAATTGTAGGTGTGAAGATAATGATGGAGAAGGTTGTTCAATATCTTCATCAAAACTAGTTGCTCCTCCATACATAATAAATAATGAACGAATATATTTTTCTTGAATCTTTCTAATTGCACGAGCATTTGGCTAGTTGAATGAATAATAATTAGATATCTTTAAATTGATATATTAAAACAAACATCATTTGGAGAAACAACACAAAACATATCATTAAGTAATTTAAAATTCTCAAGAACAAATTCTTTTTCTATTTTGAATGGAATAGTATTCTCTATTAATCCAAATGTAAATTGGAGTATTTTTTTATTGGACTTGATATTTTGAGCTGTTAAATAAGATATTGATAATTCTAATATTTGTTGAACAGTATTTACAGTTAATATCTCAGGTTGAATTAGTGCTAAAAGTGACGATGCTAATTTATCTGTTTGTTTAATAGAATAATAAATTGTTAGTCCAATTTTCATACATCCAAGTAATGAATTTTGATTGGTATCACAATGATTATTTCCTTCAATAAATTTATTTTCGTATTGTTGGTAAGTTTCCATCGTTTGTTTTTGTTTACGATCAATGCATGATTGAATAACAGCGAGAGACATTTGAATAGAATATTTATCTCCCATGTCTAGAACCACTGATTATTAAGTTCATTTTTCAAAATAACTCTGTCCCCTTTTTTTAAAGAATTTTTTAGTTTTTTTTGCCTCTTCCTTTCTCCATGAAACTAAAGAAGGAATTCAACTCAACCCCGTTTCCTCTTTCAAAAGGGCAAATTCCATTTATGTGAAAATTAAAAAACACAACCTCACTATAAAAGTTTCTTTTTGTATCAAAAAGATATTTGTGATTTTATTTTGAGTGGTTTTTAATTGTCTTGGTTTGCAATATCTTCACTTAAAAAGAGTTAAAAGAAGATATCACCAAGCGTTGCTCATTCTTTAAATCTAAACTATAATTAAGTGAAGCGAAAATATTTTATGAGAATTCATTTTTGAACAAATTGTTCGTATAATACTATTGAAATAACAACACCTATAAATTTAAAGTACCAAAAAACAAGAGTATTACTAAAAACTAGATATAGTAGCCCAAGAACGTTATGAAAGTTCACAAAGATAATAAAAGAATAATAAACCACAATTATTTTTATTAATCAAAAAGTAAATAAACCTTTCCAAAAATTCATTTTTTATCGTTACAATAGCGTTTGTGATAATGTGGTAGTAGCTACAAGTGTTTATACAAAAAAGAAATTTGGTTATAATGCAATGAGCTAATACATATAGAAACTAATATTACTCAGAAAAGAAAATACTATACAAATAATAAAAAATTTTCAGTGCCAATGAATGGACTTTATAAAATAATTTTATGAAAATAATAAAATACTAGTTATATAATAATAAAAAAATGACTTATTTTCATTAACACTAATAGCAAATATTCAACCTTAACTGAATAATTATTTGTTATAAAAATAATATAACACTGGATTAACAAAATCACCTTTTTAGATATTTTACATAAAGACATAAGATTAACCTCAACACTGAAACATTGTAACGTGTAAATTTCTAAATTAATAATGAAAAATATGGTCAATACAATTATTTATTAATATAATATAAATTTTTTAATCAGATATTGTCCTACAATAATTTCATCATTTTTATAAATACCAAAAAGGTATGTATTTATTATTAAAATTTCTTTGAGTTTTAAGGTTTAAGTAATAGTAAAATATATAACTATACTCTCTTGAAATCAAAATGAATAAGCTATTACCAAAATGTAACAAATAAATATACATTTAAATACTAAAACCCTTTTATAATTTATAAGAATTTTTTACCCACACAAATGTTACTTTTTTATACTTTTATACAGAATTAATCGTATTGATGAAATATCTTAATTTTTTAATTAATGTTCAGTACAACAACTAAAAATCATGAAATTAAACCATATATAATAAATAAAATAACAATTAAATTAAAGAAAAACACTTTTAAATTTTTATAAAATGTTATTCTCAAAAAAAAAAGTTTTTTATTTTAATACAAAATAATTATGCCCTTTCATTTTAATCAGGAAGACAAATAAACAAAAAGGTGAATTCATTCACTTAACACTTATTTAATTCTACATATAGGTTAATGGTTCTTGAAAAATATTTTTAATAAACCAATTTAAATACAAACAACTTTAGAAGAGAGATAAAGAATTGGATCTTTTTCTGCATCTTTTGCCATTGAATTGGTAATGACTGACCCTACAATAACACTTGCAATAATAATAATAACAACTGCAATCATAATTAATGGAACGAAGTCAGCTACAACAACTGAATCGTACTGTGTTACAATGAGTATTGTTATTCACTAATTAACATTATTATAAAAAATAATTAACAAACAATAACAGGTTGAAATAAAAGTGATTTGTACTCTTTTGTTGGGTTGTCTTGTATCTCGGCACAAGTAAAAACAAAAAATGTCATAATAAAAAGAAGGAGAGAATTCATTAGAGTTGAACGAATATCTTTTCGATTTCTAGTTTTTTTCTCTTTTATCTTTTTATTTTTGTGTTTTATTTTTTGTGACAAAAAATAAATAACATTAATTTTTATTTTATGTTTTTGATTTTGCAAATAAAAAAAAAAGAAAAGAAGAATTTGAAATAATATAAAATTAGTATTACTCTAAAAATATAAAAGAAATAACTCAAAACACTCATTAATATGTCTTGTTGTTCAGGAAAAAACGAAAGTATTATTGATAGTTTGCTATTTTTAAACAGATAAGAGAAATTACACTCACTTATAGTCACAAAAGATGAACCTCAAACACCATTACCTTTGAGTGAACAACTTTCTAAAGGAATAAAAGTAGTTGTTTTAGGAGAGATGGGAACTGGAAAGACTTGTATTTTACATAGATGGATTAGCAATGAATTTGTTAGACAAACAGCTACTGTTGGGTGTGCATTTAGTTCAAAAACAGTGACTTATAATAAAAGAATTATTAAATACGAATTATGGGATGCAGCTGGACAAGAGAGATATCGATCATTATCTTCAATTTATTATAGAAATGCAACAATTGCATTATTAGTATACGATATTACAAAACAAGTTTGTTTAAATTCAATATTAATTTAAAAGAAAAAAAGGTAATAATAAGACTTATTGAATTAGGAAACATTTAATGTTGTAACTGATTGGGTTGCTGAATTAAAATCTAATACAACTAATGATGTAATGATTTTGATTGTTGGAAATAAAAATGATTTACAAGAAGAACGTGAAGTTAATCAAAATTGTGTGAATGAGTTTATTAACAGTTCTAATTCAAATATTATTGGTAATTTAGAATGTAGTGCAAAAACAGGGAATAATATTAATCAAATATTTGATATTATTTCAGAGAAATTACTTGAATTGTGCAATGAATAATTGTGTTATTTATGAATTAATTATTTTATTTTTTCATATACTCATATTACTAGCTGAGGAGAAGAAGAAGGGGCTTGCTGAGAAAGAGAGGCTAATAAAAGAGAGAAAGGAGAGGCTTGCTGAGGAAAAGAGGGACAATGAAGAGAAGAAGAGGCTTAATGAAAAAGAAAAGATGAAATTAAAAGAAGAGGAAGAAAAGAACAATGAAAAGGATAAAAGAATAGAAGAATTAAAGAAAAGAGGAGGCTATTAAAGAGAAAGAAGAAATGAAAAAAGAAATACAAAAGAAGGACCAGACCATTAATAAATTATCAAATGACATTATGTCATTAAAGAAGAAGCATGAGAAGGAGATAAACACTAAAAAACAAGAAAGTGATAGAAAATTAATCGAATTCACTGTTGAATCAGAAAGGAAAAGGTCTGAGGTAAACAATTTATCACAACAAGTATACTTCATGAAAGATAAATTATTTAAATTATAAAATAAAATTACACAAGAAGAAAGAAGAGATAAATCACACTATATCTGATTCATCTGAAACACAAATTGTGAATGACCTTACCCCCAATGTTGTAGTAGCTGATGAAATATCATCAAGCGAAGATGACCTTCCAAAAAAAAGAAAGTTAACGCAGAATTCAATCGAAGAGATGTGAAATCAGCATAAGAAGATCACCACATCTGATCATGACATTCAAAAAAAACGGGGGAAGCAAACAAATAGAGAAGAATAAATTCTAACACTCTATAAATGTTTTGCACTGAAGTTATTAGAAAGAAAATTAAGAGGTCAACTTAAAGAAGAAGAAATAAAAGATTAATACATGAAATTGATATTAAAATAGAAGATATTAATGAATATAAAGAAATAATAAAGAAAACATATAAAATAAAGAATGAAATTAAAATTGAAGTCAATAGAAGAATTGAAGAAGAAATAATAACACACCAATGGAAAGATATTGAATTAAAAGAATTAATAGCCGGAATAAATAAGAAAGAAGAAATACAAGAAGATGAAGTAATAAGAATAAATAAAGAAGAAGATATGAAAGAACAAGAAGATGTACAATTTATTAATTATTATTACAATAAAAACAAAATACATCAAATAATTAATATCAATAATACAAATGAAATATTAATCAATACATTAGATGATTATTACCATTATATTAAAACTATAACATCAACTATTAACATCATTATTAATAACAATCAAGAAAGAAGTTGAAAGAGAAGTATAGAAAGAATATTACAATCAAAAATATGTAGATTAAGAGACTTGCTCCATAATAACCAATATATGAAATTAAAAAGAATATTACATATTAAAAAATATGATATATATCATATTAAAGTAAAAACAAAGGAGCAAATAAAATATTACAAATATCTCCAAAGAATGAAAAGAATAGAAATAGAAGTAAGAATAAATTGAAAAGAATTAGATGGAATTATAAAATGTTAAAATAATGAAAGAGACAACTTCCAAATAAGCATAAAGAAGATGAATATCAATATAATATTACTACAATTAATTTCTAGAAATGAATCTATGAAAATAACACTAATATAGATTTCCTAAATATTAATTTATATGAAATATTAATTGAAAATAGAATTAATAATAGAATATATATATATATAATCAATCTAGATGAATTAAATCATGCAATAAAATTCATTGATAATTGGAAAGCACCTGGAATTGATAAAATATAATGCTTCTGGATTAAATATTTAGAATAACCAACCAATTTCTTATTAAAATTATTTAATAAATGGTTGTATAATCCTACTAACATCCCTCTTCAATTTATCCAAGGAAGGACAATACTAATATACAAGAAAGGAGATAAATTAGACCCACAAAATTACAGACAAATAACCTGTTTAAACTGTCTGTTAAAAGTATATACATCTTTATTAAAGATGAAGATAGAAAGCCAACTGATGTTAAATCAAATTGAAAAACAATAATCACAAAATCAAATTGGATGTAAAAATTATACATATGCATCAAAAGAAGGATTATTATAAAATACTATAATCATTCAGTTATTAATCAAGGCTAAATGGAAGTGGGTAGAAACATATTATGATGTCTCTAAAGCATATGATAGTATTAATCATCAATGGGTTAAACAATGTTTAATTTATTTTAACATCCCATTAGTTGTAATTAAAAGTATATTACATATATTAAATAACACACAACTCCAATTATATTATAATCAACAAAATGAATGTATAATTAATGTAGAAAGATGAATAATACAAGGTGATAGTTTATCTCCATTATTATTTGTATTATCTATTGATATATTATCTAAATAATTAGATAAACAAATTAATAAGTTATCTATTAAAATGAATGGAGAAGAAAAACAAGTCCAGTTAAACCATATATTATATATGGACGATCTAAAGATAATAACTAACAGCCTCGAAGAAATGGAAAAAGCACATAAATTAACAAAAGAAATATTTAATAGAATATGATTAAAAATAAATGTAGAAAAGAGTGTGATAATGAATAATATCAATGGTCAGATAAATGGAGAATTAGCTGAATTACTAAGAGTAACTAATGTTAATCATTATAAATATCTTGGTATTGAAATAGGAGATAAAATAAATATTAATAAATATTATACATGATTATTAAATGATGTATTTTCTATTCTATCATCATTAAATATTATGAAATATATCAGCCTCAATACAATAAGAAAAATTAATAGCGATATAATCTCCAAATTAAGATATTGATTCTGTATTGTCAAATGGAAACTTGGTGAGTTTGAGAATATAGATAAACAAATAAGAAAGGCATTGATACAATTCCAACTATACAGTAGAAACATCAATAAAAATAGATTATATGTTACAATAAATGAATTAGGAATGTGATTAATGTCAGTACGAGATGAATGTGCTAAGGAATTATTAAGAATATATTTAAAATATAAATATCAAATACAGAAATATTAGAAATGATAGAAGCAGTAAAAGAGAATCCAAATTGAATAATTAAAAGAATGAAGAGAGCATTTGGTAAGAATATTAATTTCAATGAATGAATATAATACAAATAAATGAAATAAAACATGATGTAAGCAAAGTAATTGAATTTGTAACAAATAAATTAAATGAAAGATATTTAAATGAATTGAAAGAAATGTAGTGAATATATAAGAAATGTAAATTGTATATTTAATAATATGAAATTAACAGTAGCCACATGGAGGTCATTAAATATAAAAAGAAATACATTCCTCCAAGTAATAAAGATGCAAGAAGGAGTAACTATGACAGGAAGTATTAAATCTAAAATACTCCATTGGGATGTTTTAAAATATTGTAAACATTGTCCTAATACAATTCTATCTATTAATCATATATTGTTAGGATGTAATGAAGAATAATTAAATATTAAAACATCATTATCTGTGTAATTAAATATATAAACATATATTAATTACATATTTTAATGAATTTGATGAAATAGATTTTAATGCACCTCCTAAGTGTATTAATAATAATGAAATGATTATAACTTACAATAAAGATTTATTGGTTAATGACCATTCTTTTAATGTTAGAAGACCAGATATATATTATCAAAACATCAAAGAAAAAAAAATGATATATTATTGATGTCGCCATATGTCAAGATAGAAACATTGAATTAAATTATATTTACAAAATAAATAAATACAAAGAACTACAAGAGAAGCTAAGACAAAGTAGAGAATTAACTTATGTAGAAATAATACCTGTAATATTAACAATCAATGGGTTGATACATAAAGAAACAGTAAGAAGATTAAAATCACTAAAATTACAAATCAACTTCAACAAAATACTACAAACAATCATTATTAAAAACATGAAATACTTAATGTTCTACACATTCAACACTGGCAACACATTAGAAGAGGAACTTTCTAATTCTCATATCTTAGAAATAAACTCTATTGTAGAAATAGACCATATTGAAGAAACTGGAACAATCACTTCTCAATATGAAGAAAAACCAATTATGGATATATCTATTAATTGTATTTTTTTTATTTTCATATACTCATATTACTAATAATATTTTTTAATAAATATCTCTCCTATCAGAAAAAAAAATTAAAACTAATTAATTCTATTGAATTAAAACAAGAGATTAAAGATTAATTACTTCTTTCCTTTAGTGTTTTTGTATATGCCATGTCCGAGTCTCTTGAGAGTTTTTTTGGTATCTGCTTTATGCGAAATATGTCCGTGTGATTTAAGAACATATTTAGCATCACGAGCAATATCTCTAATAGCATTAAATCTCTTTTCTAATCGTAATCTTCTAATCATTCTAGCTCTGAATTTTCTTGGGATGCTTTTAACAATTTTCTTCATAACTCTAAGAAGAGCTAATTTTTTTGTATGATAAACAACCATTTTAGATCTTAAATGTGTTAATTTTCTTCCAACAACATATTTTTCTCGTTTTGTAATCACATTTTCTAAATCTTTAATATTTTCATCGATCATATCTCCGACGTGTCTTTCTTCATCTTCTACTTCATCTAATCTCATAGCAACTTCTCCAAGTCTTTCTTGAACACGGTATAATGTTGGCATCCAAAATCCACTTGATTGAGCACATGCTGAAAGGACAAATGTTAAAGCAAGGATTGCAAAAAATCTCATAACAATAATATGATGATTTTTAAGTTCTTTCTTTCTTTTTTAGTTATTTTTGTTTTCTTTTTTCTTCTAATTAAAATATAGTTTTTTAGTAGTTGTTTTTTAATTTTTTTTCATGATTTTTATATTTTTTTAAGAACTATGAAAATATAAGAACATTTGTTTAGATTTAATTTATGAAGAACCTTCCTTTATTTCTTTTCTTTATATATTGTTTTAATGTTATTACTAACCATTACCTACAACGAGTTAACGACTTTACTCTTTCATTAAATTGAACAAAAAAGGATTAAACGCTGGTAGTATTAAATCATTTGTTTCAATTTCTTTAAAGTAGTATTAAAAAAAAAATTAGGTATTACTGTTTGTTTAAACCTAAATTATTTCCTTAAAATGAGGATGCCTTTTTTATTTAAATATAAAAAATTCAGTACTTTTAATTTTAATTAAAGTTTATATTTCATTTTCATTGTTTTGTTTCATAAAAAAAATTTATGTATGATTTATAAAACTAACTGAATGAAAAAAATAGCTTCTCATTGAATTCTTTGATAAAAATTGTTTATTATACTATTGGGGGTATATCATAATATTGTATTTATAACAACTAGATGAATGGAAAGACGAACAAAATAGTTTTAAACTTGAGAGAGTAAGAATGAGAATATTGTTTGCTATCTTTAATTGGGCAGAAATACATTTTGTTTGATTCAATATCGAACTAAGTAAAGATATTCTTTAGGACTAGACCATAAAAGTATCTTGACAAGAGAATTCCGTAAGTTTTTCTAAGCAGGGAATTTATAATTTTTATCAATAAAATTCAAGATACTAGACTATACTTAAATATTAATGAATGAGGTTGTTTGATCAACTAATTATTTTCAGTGTTCTAACAAAAAGATCGAAGTCCCGGTTTATTAAACTGAGATTATTAAAAAAACACTTTCCAGTAAAACACTCTTTAAAATTATTTAAATTAGATTTGTTCAACTAAAATAAATCACTGGTTCACTGAAACAATTAACAACGTGATTCATTTGATTAATAACTTGAAACATTAACAAATGCCAATACTCTTATTAGTAAAAAAGAATTCCAACAGTCTTTGAAGAATACAAAGAAAAGTTTGTTTATTTGAATTACTAATAAAAAAGAGTAATTTCGTTAAATCCAAGTACTGTCATACAATTACATATTAATGATTAAAGTTCATAGCCATTAAAGTATCGGTACACACATAAAATAGTTCTTTTGAAATTAATTCTAGAACATTAATGTTACCAAGACTTAAGAAGAATCTCTAAAATAAAACATAAAAATTCATATGTTTTATTTGATAAAAGGGGTATTAGTAGTTTGAGGAAATGCATAAAAAGAAGAAAATAATAAGACATTATTATTAAATTATTATTTCTTTAAAAGAAAGAATGTATAAAATTAACAGAAAAATTATATACAAAAGTTATTTCACAGGAAGAAAAGCTCTTTTCAGAGAGTTGAGTAGTAATATTAAATTGAACGATATACAAAAATTAGAGTTACTGATTATTGTTATTATTTGGTCATACTTGATATTATACAACAGCTTAAAATATAGTTATCACATGATAGTTGTTCAGTTAATAAAAGGCACTAACCAAATAAGTATATAAACTTAAATAGAAATAAATGAAAGAGGATGACGTAATAACATTAAAGAAAAGAATGAGAGTTATTAATTCATTGACAAAAGGTAAAGGAGTTCTGATAAACTCAATAAAATATTACAAAAGAGAATAATTAGTTAAGGTTAATACGAAATAACAGTTTTAGTATTTAAAATTTATTTAGATTTCAAAAAGTTATTAGGAAGAAAATAGTAGAATAGAAAAATTCAGACTTGTTGCTTTAACTGGAATACTCTGGAAAAAATTGCCTTTCATGATTTTAGGTAGTAGTTTCGTTAGATTTGATAATGATTTAATAAAAAGAAGGAAATAAATAGTAAGGATCTTGAATAAAAAAAGTTAATTGTATGAAATCTTAAATTGAATTGAAGGGAAAAATTTAGTTTCTTAGAGTTTTTTTAAGTAAGAACGATGGAATAAAAATAAAGATGTGAGGAATTTTTTTGAAAAATGACAGTTAATCAATTTTGCTTGAAAATCAAAGATAAAAGAGAAAAAATTGTACAACTCACAAATTTCTTAGATTTTAATCTGTTTTTTTATTATTTAATGAAAAATAATAAGGGAGGTCATATTGGTCGAATGACTTCAATACAATTCGTTTGTTCTTTATTCTTCATTGTGTCATTTAATTTATTATTTATTTAAATAGCCAAAACTTCCATCATTAAGTCGTAGTGATAAACAAAGAAAAGTTTCATTAGAAGAGAGTAATGAATTATCAACACCTACTTTACAATCATCACACTCAGAAAAAAAAGGGAATTTAATTAAAAAATTTGGTAGTAATTTGAATCAAATGTTTAAAACACCACGAGTTAGTTTTATGGGAATGATCACACCATACGTTCCTCCTAAAAACGAAAACAATGATAGTGAAAATGAAATTAAAGAAGTTGACAGTGTTAAAGAAGAACATAAAAATGAAGAATTAGAAATAACAAATAATGAAAATGAAAAGTATATTATTGTTGGTGAAGAAATTACTAAAATTAAATTAGGAGATCGAACATTTCAAAACATCCCTTTAATTCAATTGTATATCCAAAAATATATCTTAGTTAATTTAAAGTATCAAACTATTATTCCATTCGATAAATTACCACTTAAAGAAAAACTTGAATTACTTGAAGACAATGGCTTATCTCAATATTCTTCAATTATTTCTTCAATTAATGAAAATAAATCAAGTAAATTTAATGTTAGTAAAATGGAATGGAAACTTAGAGGTATTAAAGATAAAGACATTCCTTTTATTATGGAACTTATAAACACTCAAGACATTGGTAGTAAATTGTTTAGTTTGTTAATTTATTGCTCTTTTATTTTTACATATCACTGATACTTATAATTAGAAAAAATAAATGAAGAGAATTATAAAGAATTACATATTGTTCTTATGATTATTAATGAGTTAAATAAAGGAAATTATCCAAATCTTTATGAAATTGGCTCTATTAGAATTGCACTATTATTATGGAAACATTTTTTCTTATCATTACCCAATCCAGTTATTGAAGAAGATGTTTATAATGAAATGTTAATATCTCTTGAACAAGGGAATATTAAAAAAGAAGAATTAATCCAAATGGAAGAGAATGCATTAGGTAAAAAAGGAGAAATAAAAAGAGAAATTTTTGATTATACAATCAATTTTATTAAAGAATTGGTTGATCAATGTAAAATGAATAACGAAATGCAACAAGAATGTGCAAGTTATTTTTTGAATTGTTTGTGCCAAGGGATGGTTAATAAAAAGACTGTTACATCTCTTATTTCATTATTATCATCACCATCTAATAATGAACAAATTATACAATTTGAAAGTACATGGCAATATGAAGGAGAGTTTATTGAACATTGTTATAATGATGTTTATTGTCCATTTAAATATATTACAACTCATGAAATGAAAGATGACTCCTTTAATTTTGATTCATGGGAACATGGTAAACTCTTTTTAACAAATTATAGAATAAAATTTGTTCCGGATAATTGTGAAGATTCAAGTAAAACACAAATAATTTCAACACTTGGTCAAATACCAATTAATTATATTGCAAGTTTTAGAATTGAAGAAAGAAATCAGTTATACGGATTGGTAGTGTTTTGCAGAAATTTTACTCATTTATTTTTTGGATCAAAACAACCATTTGATTCTATTGATAAAGAATTTGTTCATATTCAATATCGGTATCAACCATTTAATGAATATCAATCAAAAAATTTTGATGAAAACATTTTGAATGATATAGTTCATTTTGAGTATAAACGAATTGGTTATTCTTTTGATGAATTAGAATCAAACTCACCATCTAAGCAATATAAAATTAATGCACCTATTGTTGAAGGTATTGAATGTTCAGATACAAGTAGAGTTCCTTATGTTGCTTTCCAAACAAAAAATAAATCTAAAATTATTCAATTCTCTTTGTCTTCAAGTATCTCTCTTACTTCACCAACTCCAATTATTTTTAATTCTAGTATTTCTAATGTTGTAAAATATCTCATAACATTTCCTGATATTGCTCTTAAAGATAATGAAATGTACAAAACAATGAAAGACTTAGAAATGAGACTCTTTGATTCATACACATCTAATGCAAATGAATGTATTCAACTCTTTGATTCTACAATGGAATGTTACTCTAATCAAGTAGATACAGTATTTCAAATGGTACACAAAATATTATTATTAATTCAAACACCAGAAACGTTGTGTGTTCTTCTACCAAATAAAAGTTTTGATTGTTCAGTTAATATTGTTTGTTCATTAATTGAAATAATAACAGATTCTCATTATAGGACATTTGATGGATTTGTACATCTTTTCTTAAAAACTTTGTATGGAATAAATTCCCTTTTCTTGAAACACCTGAACGAGATTTTAACAAATATTTTATATTATATTTAGCATGTATTCTTATTTTAATGCAAACTAAACCAAACCAATTTGAATTTAATACTCATTTAATAAAATTCTTCTATTATCATTGTTATTCTAAACGATTTATTGAATTTCTTCCATTTCAAGTTTATGGATTAGCTAGTGTTTATTCTTACCTTCAAATTCATAAGAATGAATTTGTTAATACTAATTATTTAGAAGGACCAATTGAAATTCCATCTACAAAAATACATTTAAATAATCTCTTTTCATCTATAATTAATCCTTACACTTATAATTTCTTTACTTTACAGTCATTACAATCAAAATATTCTCTTGAATTCCATCATAATTTAGTATATTTTCCATTATATGATGGAATGTTAAATAATTATACATCATTAACATCACTAAATTTATCTAATAATCATTTAACTTCATTTCCACAAGAAATTAGTGTTCTTACTGGATTAATTAGTCTTAATCTTCAAAACAATCATCTTGTTGTTATAGATGAATCAATTACTTCAATTTCTAATTTAAAAAATCTTAATTTGGCTAATAATGATATTTGTCATCTTCCTATGTTACAACATTTATCACTTGATTCTCTTAATATCTCATATAATCCATTAGTACGACTTCATGCTCCATCACTTCAAACCTTTGTTATTTCAGGGTTTTCTTCAATCTTTCCAATAACAATTCCTTCAGTACAAAGAGTTATTGCTCATGATTGTTCAAGCTCTTTTTTAAACTTCATTATTAAAACATTACCAATGATTAAATTCTTATCTATTAATTCTATTACTAAACAAGAACCATTACCATCTAATATTACATCATTAACTACTCTTGAAGATTTAAGTATTACTGATTGTGGATTAGAACGACTTCATTATGGATTTCAAGGATTAACAAATTTAACATCATTAAATTTAAAAAATAACAAAATAACATATTTCCCAAAACAAATGATTTCTTTAAAAAATCTCAAAGTATTATCTTTAATAGGAAATCCATTAATATTTTATCCTCGTTCATTAGAACCATTTTGTGATGTTTCACTTCAACAATTAGAAAAAAATAAAAATAATCCTGAACACATTAACGTTGTTATTACTGGTAGTGATACAATCAGAAAAGAAATAATGTCTTCTATTGCTGTATTAAATGGTACAAATTATTCTTCAGGTAATTTAGAACATATATCATTAACTTATAATGGATCTTCTTTTGACGTAGATTTTATTTCTGTAGCTCCAGATATATTTGAAGAACAATCATATAAATATTGTTATATTGGTATGATTTTTATTTGTGGAGAACAAGAAACAGGCAAACGTATTAAAAAAATAATTGAACAATCAAATACTGACCAAAAAGTAATTGATTTAATTCAAAAGAAGAAATCAAATGGTGAAATAGAAGAGACAAATTTAAATATTGAAGAAGTAATAGAACAAGTTATAAAAAATAAACTTAAAGAAACTACTGTAGATCATTTACTTCATGAAATTAAGTCATTTGAATATAAAAATGGAATTCTTAGAATATCAGAATTATGTAATATTTTCAGATATTTTGAAATACCAAAAGAAAATGGCTCTAAAATGATTAAGTCTTTAAAAAGAAAAGGTGTATTTACTCTGGATGGTTATAGATATTGTCTAGTTGATTATTCTATAATGGACAAAATTAGAAGTATCTTGGCAACTGTTAAAACCAAAAATGGAATTGTTTCTGTTATGACCTTACAACAATCATTGTCTGTTTCTTCCTATTCTCTTCATTTTATTTTACATTTAATGCATTCTCTTCATGTTATATTGTTAGTTGATGAAGAGTTCTTTAAAAAAATGAATATCCCAATGTCGTATTTGAAATATTATTCAGACCATGTATTATCAAATGGGTGCCCTAACTCTCTTTCATCAGACCAATCTCCAATAACTAGTCCAGGACTTAACCTATCCTCTTTAGAAAAAGAAGACTCTGAAAAATCAAATTCCAGTTTAATACACCAAACTCATTCCATTGGACCAACAAGGAAACCAAGAGCTTCTTTTTCCATTGGATCAAAAAGAATGTCACTTAGGACACTTCCACTCCAAACTGAATCTTCTATATCTTCTCCACATAAAGATAATGTCTTAAATTCACCTCGTTCAGATACATCTACAGAAGATCAGCAACAATCAAATTACTTAATATTTAATACTAGTTCATTAACAGCTGGATTTACAATAGAAAATTTCTGGCCATCTAAGTACCATAAAATGGAATTAGAAATTGGTCGAGTTTATGAATTTTCATTAATGCCAAGAGAGATGTATGTAAAGTTATTAGCTTATCTATCTATTTATTACAAAATGATCGTTGTTTGGAAAAGAGGAATTATATGTTCAGAACGAGTAGACTCTGGAGATATATTTATGTATTTTGTATTTTCTCAATCCCGTCAAAAACTATCATTAAGATTAAGATATCTCATGGGAGATGATATGACATTAGAATCAATGAAATTATTTAGAGAAATAGAATATTTGTTAACCACTTTATCAAATAAATTTGATATACAATATGATGTCCATATTATGTGTAGTTGTTGTATTACAAAAGACAAACCATTCTTATTCAGCAAAGAACAAATTAAAAAATCAATTAAAAATAAGGTATTTGAGAAAATTGAGAGTGAAAATCAAGAGCATTATGTTGTTTTACCATTATTTGCTCTAGACCTCTTATTTATGTATTTAAAAGAAGTCGTTGGTCATTGTCTTTCTGTAAAAGATGTTCACCAAGAAAAGGTATTAACACGAGGAAGTTCATCAATTATATCAATTGGACATATTGGAAATGATACAAAAAAGAAGGTTGTAATAAAAGAAATAAATGTAGATATTAGTATGTGTCATATGGAAGGAATTAAGTCATCTGTTGAAGAATATTTATTAAGAGTTGGAGAATTTGTACATGAAGTTTATTCAATTCAATTTCAACCAAACGAAAATCTTGCAAGAGTTTATAATTATGTTGAATGCCCAATGATGATTATTATGGAATATTTTGAAGATGGTAATTTATTCGAATATATAGAACATTATCCATCTTTGAGTTACGAAGAAGTTAGAGATGTTGGTCTTCAAATTGCAAACGGAATTAAACAACTTCATCTTATAAAACATATTCATCGAGATTTAAAAACACCAAATATATTAGTAGAATTAGATTCAAATAAAAAAATAAAAAGATGTGCTCTTACAGATTTTGGAGAAACTATTCCAGAAGACCAAAGTGGACCATGTAATGTTGTTGAATGTCCGTATTGGCTTGCTCCAGAAGTTATTTTAAATAATCATTTCACAGAAGCTAGTGATGTATTTTCATTTGGAATGATCTTATGGGAATTATATTGTTGGAGTCATCCATTTCCAGATGTTAAAAACCTTAGTGTAGTTAGAGATATGGTTGCTTCATATACAATGCCTGAAATTCCACAAAAAGATGTTCTTTTATCCAAAATTATTCATTCATGTTGGGAACATGAAGAATATCGAAGTGATATTTTTACAGTTGTAGCACAATTAGTTGACACACAAAATTTTTCAAAATCTATGACTGGAGAATTAGGACGATTTAAATTATTAAAAACAAGAAAATCTAGTGAAGATCCAAAGAAAAAAACATTTTTTAAAAGTTCATTAAATCTTACATTTTCATCTTCTAAATAAATTGAATTATTTGTTATTTTCAAATTTTAATAATTAAAAGAATTAATAAGTAAATGGTGGAATAACAGGTTCTTCTATTTCTTCATTTTTTCTTTTTCGTTCATTGTAATCAAATTGTAATATTCTTTGTGGAGTTTCAATAGAACAACTTTCGAAAATAAAATTGTTTGAATACCAAGGCTCTATAAATCCATATTTAAAAGGTAATTCTTTATCTTCTTGATGTTGTTTATTAAAACATTGAATAATACTTCCTTCTATAACGTTTTTATTTTTATATGAAAGAAAAGAACCTTTGACAATGATGTCTATTTGAGATGGTTGTGAAGTATTATGTTCATTTGGAATAAGAGTTCCTTTAACATATTGTTTTGTTGACCATAACTCATCCCATCCCCAATGAATACTATTTAAGTCTTGAAAAAGTTTTGATTCAGTAATAATTTTAACGATTTGAAGAATATCCATTTGTTGTGGATTACGAAAGTATTCATAAAATTCTGACTGACTTGTGTTTAACCACTCTAATCCATTTGGAAGTTTTGATTTACATGAACTAATTAATATCTGATATATTAAAGGATGTATTGGTCTTCCTAAACTAAAGGAATTAGAAGAGTGATATTGAATTAAATCAGTTATTTCTGGTGGTGCGTTAAATTGATAAAACCAATCCCAATCAGGAATTCCTCTGAAAGTTGAAATACAACACCACTCTATTCCTTTCCAATACATTTGACAAATATACTCAATATCTTTTTGTGAAATAATATTATTTGAAGATTTAATATAATGTGTTGTATATGCATTTTTACTTCTTCCTCGAATTGTTATTAAATCTTTTCTTAATTTTTTTGCTACTTGATCATTTTGATAATTAATTTGGTCAATTCCATGTTCTATATTTCCAATTAATTTTCTTGTTTTTTCTACTTCTTTCTTTTTTATTTCTTCAATTTGGTGTTCAAATGTACTTGATAAAATTTTTCCTATAAGTTGTTTTGATATTGTTCCATTATAACTTATTTCTTGTGACTTAATTTCTCTTTGATATTCTAGCAATAACCTATCTAATGAAATCTCTCCTACTTGAGGAACAACGTCATTTTCAGTTATTAAAGATAATACAACTAAATCGTCGACTAAGTGAGTTAAATTATGATTTATTAAGTCAATGCTATAACTTTCTAGTAATGTTAATGCTGTTGGGATTAAATCAAACATTATTCCTACTGATGGAATGTAAATAACACTTTTTGATAAATGAAGTGAAAGAAATTGGAAAGGCATTGAATTAGATATAAAACAATGAGTAGTGTTTAATGGATAACTCATACACTCTAATTGTTTTCTAACAAAATCAAGAACTTTTTGGTTAGCCTCACCAGAAACTGATCTATCAGAAAGAATAACTTCTACTGAAGGATGTTCTTGAATAAAAGTTTTAATTAAGTTATCAAAATCAATTGAATGTGTTATTTTATGTTTCCTTGAACGAAGAAGAGCAAGAGGAACAATACCTTCAATAAAAATACATAACATTTTTGTTGGAATACAAGTTTTGAGAAAAGAATAAATATCATTAATATTAAATACATCATAAATAGATATAGATATGTAGACATAGTCAAACTGTTGTACAATGGGTTTAGTAATAGTGTAAGGACAACGAGAGGCAATTAAATTGATGAACTTACTCATGATAATAAAAATAACAAAAAATCTTATTATTTTATTATTTTATTTTTAATATTTTTTTTCTTTTTTCTAAAAAAAAAGGAAAAAAAAAAATGACAAACTACTTTTCATCGGGTTACTCTTTCATGAACGAAGAACTTTTAAAAAAAATTATTGAATTACAACACATTATCATCCAAACCCAAAATGAACTGATACAATGCAAAAACCGTGTTGACTTTGTTGAAAAGAAATACACACAAATGGAATTAAAAATGAAAAACTATTATCTATTAAAGAAAGAAGTAGAAGAATTAAAAAAAAAATTACCAACAAAATTTGAAGAAACCATTCAAACAAAACAACAATTAGTTGAAATTGAAGAAACACATGAAAAAAGTTTGTATGAAAAAAAAATGATATTGCTTTTGAATGAAATGAGAGAATGGACAGGAAGAATAAAGATGAATATTATTTTTGATAGTGATATTGATGATCAAAATGTTGTATGTTTTCAACGATCATTAATGAATAAGTCATCACTTTATATAATTCTTTTTGATGAAAAAGGAAATGTTTTTGGAGGATATAATAGAAAGTCTATTTCAAGACCTGGAAAAAGAATGGAAGATAAAAGTCATTTCATTTTTTCTTTAGAGTCTAATGAAAGAATTGACTCTCCTATTCGTTGGTTTGGAAGAGATGATAAACCTTCAACTTGTTTCTTTCTTAATAGAGAAACAAATCAAATTGGTAGATTATGTGAAATAGGTTTTCCTGATGGATTTATTTCAGTAGCTAAAACTACACTCTCTCAAAGTGGGTGTGTTAACATTTCAAATAAATATAAAGGGATTGATAATGATGATCTGAATAATACAAATAATGAAGTGTTTAAATTAATAAGAATTCTTGTTGTACAAATGGAATAAATGAACTAATCAATTAAAATTAATATTTTTTATTAATTTTATTTTATAAAAAAAAGAAAAAAATTAAAAAAATAGTAAAAAAACCCTTAAGGGTTAATCTTATTCAAAAAATGAATCGATTAGAAGTGTATGTTGGTAATTTGAGTTTAAGTACTGACAAAGATAAATTAAAAGAAGCATTTGTATCAGTTGGAGAAATAAAGAATTGTTGGTTATTTTTTATATTTAATTTACTTATTAATTTAAAAAGAATAAGAATTTAATTTATTTAGCTCGTGTTGCAACTCATAAAGATGGGGCTTCAAAAGGTTTTGGATTTGTCACTTTTAATGATGAAGAAACTGCTGAAAAAGCAGTAAATGAAATGAATGGCAAAGAAATAGATGGATCAATTGTTGTAGTCCAAATATCACGTCCACAAGATAGAAAACGAAGAGACCATTATCGTAGCAGTTACAGACATTCATATCATGGAAGAAGTTATGATAGGTCAAGAAGTCATTCTTCTAGAAGAAGGTCAAGAAGTAGGTCTAGTAGAAGAAGATATCGATCAAGAAGTAATAGAAGACATAATAGGTCAAGAAGTAGATCTAGTAGAAGAAGGTATAGTAGGTCAAGAAGTGTATCACCTTATTCAAAGTCAAGAAGAGACAAAAGTTCTAGAAGTCGCTCAGGTAGTAGCTCACCAAAAAGGAGTGAACGAAAAAGTTTTAGGGTAAATGACTCTTCCCTTCCATCAAAAAATGAAATTCCAAAAGGGTCTGATGATAAATAATTCCCATAGTTTTCAAAGATTGCCTTCCATTCCATTTTACTTTCCAAATGTTCCAACATCCATCCAATTCCATGTAAAATTACTTTTCATCTAAAAATTTATAACATAAGTAGAAAAAATCTTTGTTGTCATTCCTTTTTGACTTAATAACATCAAAAAATGAAATTATTAAAGAATTAATCAAAAAATATAGCTTTTTTATAAAAACTTTTAAAATTATAAGATCCTTTAAAAATTTAATGAAACCAAACTTAAAGAAAGATGAAGATATTCATTTAACCGTTAAAAAAAGAGAGTCCCGAGATGAAGAGGCAACATTAGCTGATGGGTATTTATACATTTTGATTAGAGAATTTGGGTTTTGTGCAAAACTCAAACAAACAAAACATGCAGAAAAAACAATTAAATTATATTGTGTTGATGAGTTATTTATTGAAAATGAAATTTGTGTTAATCAAGAAGACATCCAAAAAGAAGGTCGGAAATTACAACACAGATTTGGAGTTGATCCTATTGTTACATTAATGAATCCTAAACAAGAAAGAAGATCAAAAGAAGCAGAGGTAAGTAATGGATATCTTCAAATGTTAATTAATGTTGGATATAGTCCTGAATTTAAAGGAACACGTTCTGCAAGAAAAACTATTAAAATGTATAGAATTAAAAAAATGGAATCTCCTACCAAAGTTATTCTTGAAAAAAATGTTTTGATGGAATTTGGAAAACTTCTTGATGGGGTTGTAAAAGAACAATTTCAAAAAGGTTTGAGAACAATGGTTATTACTCCTGAAATGCTTGCTTTAAAAGAAGAGTCTTTAAATGGAATAAAATTAACAGACCTTTTATCACAACAACCCAATCAAAAGGAAAAGAATGAAAGCGATAAAGAAGGAGCTGACTCTACTACAGAAGATATTACTCAGTCATATGATTATAGTAGTATAAACTAATAAAAGAAAGAGGTAAAAAAAAAAAGATGATAGTGTAAGAGATAGTTTGTCAGATGAACATTATTGAATTTGTTTTAATTTTTTTATAACTATTTTATACTAGGATAATTAAAATTTTATACTTTGAGAAATGAAGGAAAAAGATGAAATTTATTGTAATCTATTCCTTCTCTTTTTATTTCTATTTTCATTTAATTGAAGTTCGGTTGAAAGTACTAAAATTAGAACTTTTATTGATATATTTAGAAGGGGTATCAAGTTATTTGATGTAGTGAATAGAACAACTTGATACTTTCATACCATGAGTCATAAAGAAAGAGAACATCGCGACAAAGTATTTGATTCGGTATTTAGTTCACAGATAAAATCATTACCAAAGAATAAAATTATGAATATTGGAGTTATTGTGAGAAATATAATACAATCAACTAATGTTCCTTATAAAATTAGTACAATTGATGAATGTTGTAGTATGTCCACAGTTAGTTATTATGCAATAATTAATGGTCAAAAAACAGGTGAACCAATTTGTGATCGTATTGGTTTAAAACTATTTGAAAATAGTGCTGTTTATGTTGTGGCTGATGGTTGTGGATGGGGAACAGCTTCATGTAAAGCTGCAGAAATAGCAATAGATTCAGTTTTTAGTACAATGAATTGTTTAACTAAATGTGAAAATGTAAGAGATGTTGGTGAATTAGAATTAAAAGCAGTAAAAGAGGCTAATGAAGCAATTCTTAGATCTGATTCAAGTTTATTAAATATTGGAACAACAACATTATTAATTATTGCAATAGTTCCATTAGAAACAGGAAGTTATAATGGAATATATTGTAGTATAGGTGATTGTAGTGCATATAATTATAATAGTGAATCACAAGAAGTTAATTTATTATGTGGAAAAATACTTTCGAAAATTGGAGAAACAAGAAACTGTGGGGGTAAATTAGGCAGTACTGAAAATTATATTCCAGGGGTAGTTGATGGTGTTTTAGGTAAAATTGAATTAAAAGAAAATGATATTATAATGGTAATGACTGATGGAATTCACCATAACTTAAATCCTTATTTCAGAAAAATGTTGTTTACTGGTTCTGCTGAGAAAAAAGGATGCCAGTTATTAAAAAATTTTATTGAATCGAGTGTTACATTTTCTGATATTACAGAGAACGTACTTAAAGATGTTTATGATTTAACACAACCTTCAAGAATATTTCTAAAAACTCATCCAAAAACTAAACTTCCAGAAAGCATGGCAGGAAAATTAGACCATGCTTCTTTTGGTTGTATTCGTGTTGGTAGCTGGATTAACAAATACAACTCATTAGTTAGTACTATTACCCCTCCTTTTTTTAATGATCTCGTTTCATCTCCTTGGATTCAACACACTTTCTTCCATCAAATTAAACCAAGTGAACACAATTCTCCATTTGTTTCTTCTCCTTTAGAAAGTCACTCTGCTCGAGCTAGAAGTATTTCTCCAAAAACAATATATTCTCCAACTATACCAACTGAACATTATTCTTTTTCTCCTAAAGACCCTCATTATTTTGCATTTAATAAAGCATCACCAAATAGACATTTCTCCCCTTTGTGTCACTCTTTTGGTTTACCAATGAATTGTTCACAATTATCTGATATTTCTAGAAGAAAGTCTTCTAGTTCTGAAAGTCTTTCTCCTGAATTTTTTGAAATAAATAAAGCACCGTCAAGAAGACGAAGTAAAGATTCAAAGACGTCGAGTTTCTTTGAATTTTTTACTTGTCAAAATGAAGAATTAACTGATGGTGAAGTTAGTTATTGAATTAGCCGAATGATACTATGTATGTTTATTGAATATTGAATTATATTTTTTATTTCATTTCTTTCTTAAATTGAAGATGATGTATAGATTATATTACATAAATTTATAAAACAAAATTAAGGTTTTAATTTTCATTACCAATCTCCTTAATGGTGTGTTATCTTTTATATAAAAAAAGTCTCTTTGATTTGTTCAAGTTTGTTTTAAATTAAGAAAAAAGTATAATTAAGTATAATTACTATTATTTATTCATAAAGACTTGAAATTTTAGAATATGAAATATATCTTAACAATAAAAAATAAATTCTATCGTCATTGATAAATCTTAAGAAGACAATCCATAACTGTAATAGTATGAATGTACTTTTTTTGAATCAAAAAAATATGGTAAATACAATAATAAAATATAATGTTCTTTTTCTTTATTCTTATTGTAAAGACAGTCCAATAACTTAAGTGAAGGATTATTTAGTTTGAGTTAATTAAAAACCTAGTATATTAAAAGAAATAATGAGTATTAAAGAAACTATTGATTCTCATTATTTAATACAATAAAAATATAAGTATTATACAATAGAATTAATTTCTTTTAATTCATTTTTCACATGAATAACTAACTGAATTGAAGAATAACAAGATGTGTTATAAATAAATTCTAATATTTCTTTATGTTCTTTCTATTTGAAAAAAAGAAGAACTAAAAAATTGTTGTAATATTTTGTATGAACTTTGCAAAGGCTTGTCTTCATTTAGATATCAATACTATCAAAAAGTGTTACACTGGGATGGAGCCATTATACCGAGTAATTGTATTATCAAATATATCAATTTCTTTCTTTGTAAGAATTATGTCGTTAATAACTTTATTAATTAATGAAGGAATTCTTAGCTATGATAATAACGATTCATTTGATATTACTTTTAATAGAGTTTCATGTATAGAATTAACAAACCATTTGCAAATTATATGGACATCATTTTTAATTGATTCATTAACATTAAGTTGTATCCCATCATTTATTGGAATGTACATTATTGTATTAATTATGTGGATGATATGGATTCCATTACATTTTATTAGTTCAATTAGATTTGATATATTTCCAATTACTTTAATGTCAGTTTATACAGTAACCTTTCTTTTCTTATCATTAATTGGAACATTAAGATATTTTAATAATGCACCATTTTTCCCAACACCAATCTTTGTAGAACGGAAATCATTTCTCAATCGTTCTTTTACATCATTGATATTAGTTCAATATATTTTTGGAGAAACTGTTCTTCATTTCTTACCAACAACACAAACAGCTTCTTTCTTTTATAAATTATTACATATCCTTTGTCCAATTCTCCTTCTTATATTTATTTATTTACCATTAAGAAAACATTATACAATGGGATATACTGTATTAGCAATTGTCCTTCCATTGTCTGCATCTTATTTTGCTTTAGGTCACAATTTTGGTATTCAATACTATTTCTTCTGTTTGTTAATTTTTTTTCTTAAACATAATAATGACAAATAATACTTATTTCCTAGTTGTCTTTTATTGTATTTTTTCAATTGGACAAGGGATAATGCTTTATATCCTTTATCCAACATTACCTGACAAACCAAATCTTGAAATTTTAATGGAATAACAATGTTCTTTTTGGTTATTTATCTTGGTTTAAATAACATATTTTTATTATTTTGTTATATAAAATAATGTAAAAAAAAGTTATAAAAAAAATATAATAAATAAAAAAAAATAAAAGAATAAAGAAAAGAAGTGGTGAGGAATTTTTTGAGGAGAATAGACAATGAAAGTAAAACAAAAAAAGATTAAAATGGTCATTCATCAATTGAAAATTTAGGAGGAGGAGGACATTAAAATTTCGATAATTGGGATATGGATCAATTTAATGATGTAACCACAAAAACCAAGGATTGCAAACCCAATTAAAACAGCGTAAATTGTTTTTGTATATTCTATAGAATAATTAATACCTTAATTTTCTTTTTGATGAATAAATTAATCACTCAACAAACCCTTTTTATCTGGCTTATTACATTTAGTGATAAATCTCTTACTGTCAGAAATAAATTCTTCAGTTGGTTCAAGAACGTATTGTTCAAGGGTATCCATTGCTCCTTTATTTAATTATAAGTTCTTTCTTTTTTTAAGTTTTCAAATTGTTGTTCGATTAAAATAATGTAATAAAAAACATTTAAAATGTTTCAGATTCTTGAGAAGTAAAAAGAAAAAAAAAGGAACTTTGTAATTTAATTATTAATGCAGTTTATTGATTATACATTAATTCAACCAACTGCTATAACTTCGTGTTGTAATGGAAATATTCGATCTAAAGAATCAAATGATTTTGTAGTTGTTAAAGCAGAAAGAAAAATAGAATTTATTACAGTAGACTCAAATGAGAATGATATTGTTTTAGATTTATTTGTACAATTAGATAGTTATAATACAGTTAATAATGTTCTTTGCTTAAAAAATTTATCAAATAATCAAACAGATTATATTATAATTGCTTTATGTGATGCGATTAATATTATTCAAATGGAAGGTTTTAAATTTAAATTAGTACAACGAATTGATCTTGAAAAGAAAACAGAACGATTCATTAAATCAAGGTATCTTGCTGTTGATGAAGATAATAGTTCATTTATTACAGGTGCAATTCAAGGTGGTTTTGATTATTTTAAAGAAGAAAATGGTACATTTTTAAAAGAAGAAGTGAGTATTGAAGATTGTGTTTGTTTTGGAATTGTATCAATTGGAAATAATTGTTATGCAACATTAGTTTATTTAATAAATGAAAAAAAGAAATATGTTAAAATATTTGATTGTAATAATTCACCTAAAGAAATAAAAAATATAGAAGTTAATAATGAAACTGAATCAATATTTAGTTTGTTATTATATTC